GGCTCATTTCTTGTTAGCGCTGAGTAATATTCCACTGTCTGGATGGACAGTTTGTTTATCCATCACCCACTGGAGGATATCCTGGCGGCTTCCAAGTTCTGGTGATTATGAATAAAGCTGCTGTAAACGTCCGTGTGCAGGTTTCGTGTGGACAAGCTTTCAGCTCCTTTGGGTAAATACCAAGGAGCGTGATTGCTGGATCCTAGGAGTATGTTTAGTTCTGTAAGAAACCGCCAAACTGCCCTCCAAAGCGGCTGCACCGTTTGCCTTCCCCACAGCGACTGAGAGTTCCTGTGGCTCCACGTCCCTGCCAGCATGTGGTGTCGGCGCTCTGGGTGTTGGCTGTCCTGACAGGGGTGCAGGGGTGTCTCGTTGCCTTAATTTGCATTTCCCTGAGGATGAGATGGGGAGCATTTTCTCATGTGCTTATTTGCCATCTGTGTATCGTCTTGGGTGAGGTCTGTTCAGGTCTTTGGCCCATGTTTTTTTTAAACTTTATTGGGGAACAATGTGTTTTTTCAGGGAATGATGGTTTTTTTTGGGAACAATGTGTTTTTTCCAGGACTCATCAGCTCCAAGTTAAGTTGTTGTCCTTCAATCTTAGTTGTGGAGGGCGCAAGCTCAGCTCCAAGTCCAGTCGCCATTTTCAATCTAGTTGCGGGGGGCACAGGCCACCCTCCCATGTGTGAGTTGAACGGGAAACCTTAGGCATGTGCACTAATTAACAGAGCCATCCGACCACCTGCTGGCAGCTCAGCTGCAGCTCAGCTCAAGTCGCTGTCTTCAATCTAGTTGCAAAGTCACTGGCCCATGTGGGAATCGAACCGACGCTGTTGCTCAGAGTTTGCGCTCTAACCAAGTGAGCCACCTGGCCGCCCCTTTGGCTCATTTTTTAACCAAGTTGTTGGTTTTCTTATTGTTGAGTTTTAAGAGTTCTTTGTGTTATGGAAAACAGTCGTGAATCACGTGTCTCTGGCAAATTTTCTCCACCTTCCGCGGCTGGTCTTCTCATTCTCTTGACCCCCTCTGCTTTTCACTCACTCTGGGGCCTTGAGAAGGCCACTTGGATCCTCTGAGCCTGAGTGTCCTCCTGCATAGAGTGGGGATCAAAATAGCATTTTTTTGGAATCTGAAATGAGGTAAAAGCCCTGTGAAGAGCTTGGCACAGGTATCTACCATCGTCATTATCGTGGCTGCTGTCATTTGGTCATAATTAAGGCCTGTGTGCTTATTCTTAATCCCCCGTTAAGGGGCAGAGCTAACCCTCCTGTTCCCTCACGGCAGCTTCATCGTCATGGAGCACTGTCCTCTCTGGAGTTGCCACTGCCATCACCTTCACCACCTCCACCACCGTCACCGGCAGCGCCACCATCCCCACTGTCACAACTGTTAATTCATCTAACAAATATTGTTAAGCACCCACAACCTCCCCAGCTCTGTTCCAGTCAGACCTCATCACTGCCCCTCCTGTCACGGTCACCATCTCCTGTCTCCATCTGGACGCCAGTGTGGCCGGGAGGCCTCTGTGGTGTGCTCTTGCAGGCTCCACGGCTCCGGGGGCGTCTGGCAGTTGTACAAACAGCACTTAGTCCACAGGGGGTGGGGTGGGGTGGGGGTCTTGGGGGAGACTTTGAAGGGAGGAGACAGGTTCTTTCTCTGCGATTCCTGCCCCTTTGCTCCAAGACAGAGCCCGGTGTGTGTTCTGCTGCCCCTCACACCCAGCTTTCCTAAAGCAGGCCAGTCTTTAGGTTTGGAATCCTTTTGTGTGTGTACTTGAGGAGCTTGTTAACATGCCCTTGGCCTGGGCCTGGGAACCTGCCTTTTAACAGGGTCTCAGAGGGCTGCCCCTCATGGTGTCCAGGGCCCCTTGCCTTTGCTGCCAGATCCAGCCAGGGTGACCAGATGAAGCCTTCCTTCTCCGTCCTCTCTGCAGACACACCAAGATGAAGACAGCTACCAACATTTACATCTTTAACCTGGCCCTGGCAGATACCTTGGTGCTGCTGACACTGCCCTTCCAGGGCACAGACGTCCTCCTGGGCTTCTGGCCATTTGGGAATGCCCTGTGCAAGACGGTCATTGCCATCGACTATTACAACATGTTCACCAGCACCTTCACACTGACTGCCATGAGCGTGGACCGCTATGTAGCCATTTGCCACCCCATCCGCGCCCTCGACGTCCGCACGTCCAGCAAGGCCCAGGCTGTCAATGTGGCAATCTGGGCCCTGGCCTCTGTCGTGGGCATTCCTGTTGCCATCATGGGCTCAGCCCAGGTCGAGGATGAGGGTCAGTGGGTGGCCCCTGCTCTCCAGTGCTTTGCCCCCTGGCTCGGGGTGGCCCCTCCCTGTCCC